TAGCAGAGTGTGGATGGGGTTCCATATCTCACTAGTAGCAGATTAGGGGCGAGGCCCGAACTAGAACAGGAGTGAGAGTGGGCTAGGCCCGTACCTCACTGCCGTTAGGAGCATGGACGGGGTTCCATGACTCATTCGTAGCAGGACATGGGCGAGGCCCAGGATAGGCGAGGCCTTAGGACAGATCTAGTTGCATGTGTCAGTTATGTGTTGTGAAATGTTTATGTGTTATTATTTTTTGACGGGCGAGGCCCTGTGATAGGCGAGGCCTAAGTAAAACAGATCTGTATCCGAGCGGGGCTCGAAGCCAGGCGGGGCCTGGAGCGGCGAGGCCGTTGTAGCGGGCGAGGCCCGAGGTAGGGGGCGAGGCCCAAGATAGGGGTCGTGGCCCAGTATTTGCAGTATGTGGTTATGCATGGTACGTGGTAGGGTGGGGAACTCACTAAGCTTCGTGCTTACGGTTTTCAGTTTTGGTTTCAGGTACTTCCGGTAGCGGAGGAAAGAGCTCGGGGTGATCGCATGGCACACACCATAGATTAGACAGCCTGGGAATGTTTACTCTGATAACGAACATGTGTTTTGAAAACTTATACTCATATTATGTTTTGGAATGATGACTTTACTTTAAGTAATGATTTATTAAAAGAAATTTTTGGTCTTAAATTTTAGGGTCGTTACAATACACTTCCAAAGTTCTTCATCAATTCCATTTAAGTAATCTTCCATTCTATCAGCCCACTGATCATAGTATTCTGGAATTAACATTGGAATTTTGGTTGAAGAACCAAGCAAGTGAGAGAAAGAAGTCATTGAATTCATGTTGAAGTTCGCCATTGATGAACACAGAAAATATCTGAAAACTTGAAACCTTGGTGAATTTCAGAATTTTATCAAACGAATTGATCACAAATCATTAATTGATTACTCGACTTAAAAATGCAAATGCAGAATCAATTCAAATCTGAAGATCAAAAGTGATTTTCAAAACCAAAAATGTGCGGAAAATTTTGAGTAAATTTGTAACTCAAAAAACAAATGATTCTTATACGAAAATCAGATCTAAGCAGTTTGAATCCTGCTCTGATACCAATTGATGAGAATTGTTATCGAGAATTTAGAAAAGAAAAGATAGATTTGAATGATTGAAGATGATGAACACAAAGAGTAAATATTAATCAGATCTCATATTGATTAAGACTGATTACAAAATTAAGCAGAAGTGAGTTCTAGCATTGTTACTCTACTTCTAGCCTAAGTCCCTATTTATAGGGAACAAACAAAAAATATACTAAGTCTATACATTTTAACTTCGCATAAAAGATGACTTAGTAAAATAACATAAAATGCAAAACTACACAAAACACTCTATTCGACTTTTACAATATACATCAACACACACAGTCCGTTTCTGCTGGGCACCGACTCAATCGATATCCTAAATCCCCGGAGTTGAAGAAAACCAAGCATGTTATGGCTATGGTGAGTCTGGACACTAACAGAAGCACTGCCTGATAATGAAGAACTTAGGAGTGGATGGACGAATTCAGATGATCACCACAGGAGAATCAACCCCGGAGTCGCTAGCGAGCAGCGGTATGTTTTCGAAATAGTAATTACTTTTAAAAATTAATTTATATTTATATAAGATTAAAACTTGGGGTACACACTTAAAAGAAACTATAATAACTCACTTATAGAAACAAGTTAGAGTATTCAAGAGAACTAAAAGACCCGTTCAGAGAAGCTATGATGGCTTAGCATATACATCAGGGTTGTACATAGCTAAGATTTTGCAGACTTAGAGTGAGTGATTTCGCCTTAATTTCCTATTCCTTGTTTGGTTGTGGATTTGAGGCAGAGTTACTTAGTCGACTGTCTTATTCATCCTAATTATTCATAACTAGTATGTGAAAGGCAATCATAGTATAAACTATTGACACTAGTTATCAAAACACTTTCATAGTATGTAGTCGCTCATCGCGGTACGATACAGAGAAGTGTTAACATCAGGGGGAAAATAGAATGCACTAGAACATTTACAAAGAGTACATTGTTGAACACACTAGGAGTACATCATCATATAACAGATGTTTCTTTCAAATCAGCCAAAAGTTTGTTCAGTAAAGAGTCTATTACTATCATTTGTCATGAATTGGCGTGCTCCTCACCATACTAGGTTCATATGTTTCGACCGTGAAGCTCACGAAACCTTTGTCATTCGTATCGACAGTCCGACCTAAACCTTTGTTTTGTCTTTTGTATTCTAAACACCAAAGTACTCATACGAAGGATACTTTGTCCTTCGAAGCCTTGTCGTCATATGTTCCGCAGACCTTTCCGAAATACCACTCGCCCAACAGACCAAGTTCGAACACAGAGGCTAAGGACGAATACAGCCAACCTATTACTATTCAGTATATATGCGAGGGTGGTATATGATTATGATTACATAGATTTAGTATGTGTGTTTTCGCTCTATCTCCTATTCCTTTTTTGGTAGTGGACCTGGGGCAGAGTCGCACATCCGACCGTCTAACTAATCCTGATTATATGCAACTTGTATACATGAGGTAATGATAGAGGGACCGAGTATGAGTCCTATCATGAACACTAGGGAAAAGTTGCGAGGTCTACGAGTGGGTATTCTGCAAATCATAGAAGCGCAACCCCAGTAGTACTTCAAAGAAAGCTAATTTCGGGATGAAATTCCTTCTAACGCGGGGATGATGTGACAACTCAAAAATTATTGCCTTATAAGCCCTGCCAGTCAACTCAACTAAGTGTCAGACTTGTTTTTACTATCATTTCGCCTTGTTTAGAGTCCATTCAAAGGTTCAAATCTTAGTACATTTAAGCATTGAGTATAGGATTGGGTCGCGTACACGTCTAGCACCAAAATCAAGCCCAACATTCCATTTGAGGGAGTGTACGGCTGTACATATGAGTGTAAGGCCGTACACCCATGTTGGGCCGTACACCTCTCCCTAAGTATGTTATCCCTTCATTTATAAGCCATTCTTCAGTTTCCAAGTCAAGAACATCGAGTTTTCTCTCAACTATCATCAAGATTCTCACCCGATCTTCAAGAATTTATGCTTTCTTCCATTTTGAGTTGTTGTTATTCCTCTTAACCTAGTAACACCCTTTGATTTCATTCATTGGAAATCATCTTTTGACTAGATATTCAAATCTCACCAAGAACACACACTTGTTCTTGGTGATTTTGAGCCTTCTTGCGCCTCCAGATCGTAAGTAATCTTTCCCAATGCTTGAATCTTGTTTAGAACACTATTTTAAGTCCTTGAAAATGCCTAGAACTCATGATCATATGTTGTGTGCGGCCGCACACCCATGTGTGTTTGTACACCCCTCAAAACAGCCTTAAAGGGGTTTCAAAATGAAATTCTAGCTTCACCACTTATTGCGTAATCGTCCCACAAGCCTACCTACCTTTGGAAAACACTTTTGTGCACTCATTACCATGAGTGTGCAGCTATACACTCCCTGTCCGTACACCCATGGCCGCACACTCTTCAAATTGGCCGTACACTCCCCTTAGTTGAATCATATGTGATTCTAACACTTGGTCCAAGTTTTTCCTAGTCCCATGAGGTGTTTCCTTGCATTTGGTTGCTTCTAAACACTATATTTATGTCAATATATGCCATTATATGTCATTTAGGACTCGTTAAGTCTCGGGATTTCATTTGTGGAACTTCTCATCCTTACGCGCATATTCGTTTGAATCACCCACTTAAGGTGAGTTCATACACTGTAATGAATCTTTTAACTGTTTTAAATGCTTTTAGGGGGGGGGGGGGATACATGTTGAACACAATGTTAATTGTGTAAATGTTTGTTATAAACATCTTTCAAAAGATTGCTTATGTCTTTTATAAGTGATCAAAACATTTCACACTACTAGAAAAACAGCCTTTTACGACGCGTAAATAATGACATACACTGATAGAGGATGCGGATTTGCACCTGTCCTAAAAAGTACTGTCAATTTTCTAAAATTTAAAGGATAGAGGACACGTATTTGTGCGTGCCCTAGAATTTGTGCCAAACAAAACAAAATTAAAAACACGAAAGGCGCATATTTTAAGTGAGTGCCATCTGAAAATTTCGCTTTATATTTTTTTAACTAAACGCGCGTTTTTAAAGGGGGGTCTCTAAAATTCTAAAATTTTGAATACCCCGCTTCTACACTCTCTCCTCTGGATCGCAAAAAGCCATTCTCTACCTCCCCTCTATCTAACCCCTAGACACACCCACTGACCTTCGCCGAAGCTATCTTCTTCTCCCCCGCCTCCACCAACAAACCACAACCTTATTCATTACCCTAAAAACCAGACTAATTTTTCACCTCTCATAATCTCTCACATAACACTTAGATTTTTGGCAATGAAAAAAATCTACCCCCCTACTCTTTGACGTGTTCTAATATCTTACTGTATCTAGGTTAAAATCAACCATTGCAGCAGAGCATCTTCTCGTGTAGTGTTTAGAGGGAAAGGAAATCCCCCAAAATTTGAAACCCCGGATCTTCTCCTTCCCTTCGTATCCTTCTTTGCCCTAATCTTGCTTCTTGACGCCATCATCTTCTTTCTCCCCACATCGACTGTTAGCTTTATACTTCCCATTCACAATTCTTAATACCCTTTTCTATTTAGATGAAAATATTTACCCTTCAGTCTAGGCGTTTACTTTTCCTCCTTAGATAATGATTACAACAATGTTGGATGAAGCTGCTCGCCACCTGTACATATCCCTTTGCCGCCACCTCCTCATGTCACCGACTTTCCCTATTGGCTACATATTTTGTCTAGTTGAATTGAAGGCTAAAGGACTTGATTTATTTGTTCATCTCGTGCTTCAATTTAACACTTCATGCTTGGATTCTAATTGACTCTCTTTTTTTTTCTTTTAGGTTTTTGCTGCGCGGCTCTATTCTTTGATATCCAAGACTTCTTGATTCACATACATCTCGAAACAAGATGGTTTTGCCAAACGATGTTGATTTGCTTAATCCCCCAGATGAGTTGGCGAAGAGGAATCAAAAGCTCAAACGACTTGTTCAATCTCCAAACTCTTTCTTCATGGATTTTAAGTGCCAGGTTTGTTTCAACATAACAACCGTATTCAGCCACTCTCAAACGGTGGTGGTGTGTGGAAATTGTCAGACGGTGTTGTGCCAGCTGATTGGTGGTCGTGCAAGACTTACAAAAGGGTGTTCTTTTAGAAGGAAGGAGACTAATCCTATTTCTTACTTTTATGGCTGGTTAATCAGAAGCTGCTTCGGTGCTATTACTTAAAACGTTACAAGTTGAGTCTTTTATTCTGGTTTTTCTTGTTGGACCCCAACTATCATCTTTTAAAGTTAGGGATTGTGTTTGAATCATTTCATCAGACCGCCTTCTCACTATTAAGCTTCTATTACGTACATATTTTTAAAAGTTTCTCTGAATTTTTTGTTGATGACTGGTGGTATCGGATCCAAGAATGGATTTTTAAACTTCCATGTTCATATGTATGTTTTCATAAAGCATATTCTGCTATGTTTATCAGTTGGTTTCTTTTGCCTATCATGTCAGTTACTGTTAAGGACTGACTGTAATAGAAAGGTATAGGAATGATGTATGTGATCTATAAGTGCAAACATTTGTTCAAATAAAACACATACATATCAAAGAAAGAATTGGTTTTCGTGAGATTATCTTAGTATTTGTCAAGGTTTTCATAGCAAGCTGAATGTTTATAGTATTACATTTGTATTGATAATTGGGTTTTGATGCAGGGGTATTTTAGTCAAGTGCATAGTTGGCAGAGATTCAATTTGTATGGACGGTACTTGGGTTTTTTTATCATCAGAAGATGGTTATATAGACTTTTTATTAAAGGGCATTTTGGTAAAACTCGGAAACTAACGTACAAAAGCCTACTCTCTGGTTGTTGTTGTTCTATTGGATCAACTATCTGGTGGTTTTCCTTTTTCAACATTTCAGGCCAGGTATCTTCAAGATGCTCGTCTTGTTGTGTCCGAGGTCTCGTCTGTTCATCTTGTTGTTTTCGAGGTCTCGTCGGCATCTTCCAGACTCCAGAAGTCTCTCTAGCTCTCTCATATGTATTTGCACTCTTCAAAAATTTAAATGCATATGTGTTAAAGTGACAGCCACATGATTTAGTATTCCGTATTTACTTTTGAACTTTGTTATCTCAATGGTTAGAGATATAGAAAGACTTTTAATTCATTTGACTTTTTGTATCTCTACAAATGGAAGCAAAATTCATTTAATAATCTTAATATATGTTTTATTTATTTATTATTTTCTTACTTATCGATAATAATATTTATTAACTTTTAATTAGTTTTTAGGCTAATTATTATAGATGATAACATAGTTAGTCATATATATAACTAAACTCTAAAGGAACGAGTGAATGGGTAAATGTTGCAATAAAAATATGTGAAGGTGCACCAAATTTGAAGTTAATATAAATAGAAAATTTCATATTTAATCTGACATGATTGGTAGGTACGGTCTGAGTCAGCCTTGACTTTGCGTGCACTGGCGGAGATTGATCCGACATGTGTTGGTGGTTTGGTCAATTATGGGATCACTACATTGAAGGCACTAAGAGAAAATGTGTCATTTGAGAAGGTATTACATCAAAGATCTAGTTTTTTTTTTTTTTTTTCTGAAAGAGACAAATTCTCAGGCAAAATTTATTAAAAAAGAATAAAAGAATAAAAAGAGCAACTTACAATAAAAAACCGACCACAAACTAAAAACTACACTAACCTATCCATAACCATTCTCTAAACCATTTTCTATTACAACTAACAACCCAGAATCTAACCCAAATAAAGCCGAACCAATCAAAGGAGTACTCCAAAATCAAAAATCGCCAACTCCAAATCTTTAACAGGTTAGAAAAAAACCCAGCTGTCCCAATGTTTGCTATTTGAACACATCTTTTCCCCCCTTCTTCCTTTTAGCAATTTTATCAACCTCTGCTCATGTCCCATCTGAATTTTTAGACTTATTTCCGAAACTACCCTTCGAAGGTTCTTCATGAATAGAAACCTCAGTGACCTGCAGTCAAGAAACATTAGAGCAACATAAACAAAATTTGTATGGGCATTTATGTCTTTTATACAACCGAGAAATTGGTTAAGGAAAAAGACTGACATGATAGGATGGAGAAGAGGGTGATGCTTTTTTGAATCCCATCACAAGTTTTCTTTTAGGCTCTAACCTACTAAATGTTACTGAACCAAAAAAAAGAAATGAATAGCTAAGAAGATGACCACAAGTATTAATAAAAAGAAAAAGAAAAGATGAAGATGAAGATGAGGGCATTTATGTCTTTTACCTGTATTACCAGCTTGCAACTGCATCGACTGTATACAAGGAGTGACTCCTTCTAGATCATACATTCTACTATTATTATTAGGCCAGAATCTAAAGTGTAACACCCAATCAAACTTTAAATCTTGAACTACAAAGAGGTAATCTTCAGGCTGAGAAATTGGCGGAAGATAAGCATATATCACAAAAATATATATAAATAATAAATGAAAATAATGAATGGTTCTATTATTTTTATAACAATTTTATTCATCTCACTACCAAATAATTAATACTGTATGGTTTTTTTTATCAAATATCCCAAAACTAAACTTTTTTTAACATTACAACAAATAAAAACAAAAACTTCCAAAAATGCCCCTCCATGTTTAAAACCTATGGATATCTTTCGGGGGTTTGAAGTTGACCGGGTGAGTTTCTAGAGTGGCATTTTCGTCTTCTTTCCACATTTTAATTGGTTTGTCTGCTTTAGTCAATTAAAAGTTCATTTTTTTCTCAGATTGCAGGTGATGATGTTGCTACAAATAATTTAAGCGTAGATGTTGAGACCATAGCTTTTTCTTGGAATTTGGTTCTATATAATAGAGAAAGAGATTCAGAATCTGTTAACATGTTTAATGGCAAAGTTGTAAATATGCAATATGCAGGAAGATTCTTTTTGTAAAAGAGCTGCAAGGAAGTTGCTTTTGGAGTTCAAATCTGATAGTTTCTCAAAGTATGAGGTTAAATGCAAGAAATAGCAATCTTTTTTCATTGATTTGTTCATTATAGGCTTCTACTTCTATATATTTTATCACAAAACATTACTTTGAAAAATCAACAAATTATACAAGTTTTAGGGCAACTGTATCTGATGGAACTATTATTATAGTGTTAGGTGATGCACAAACTTGCTACATTGTAAATGTTGTGAGGGAGGAGAATGAGAAGGCTGTGAGGTTGCCACCTAGCATCTCAATTGAAATCTATCAGGTATACATGCTTTTTTTACTGATAAAAACAATATGTAACTCATAATAACAACATATTTAGATATTGTACTGAAAGTAGAAAGTATAATTCATTTGTTCCAGGAGATTAAAGAATCCGTGCAGTCAGATTCCAGGAATTTAAGGCAAGAATATCATAAAATTACTGAGTGCATTTAAGGCAAGAATATCATAAAATTTCTCTTCTTTCCAAGGTTATATCATAAAAACCTGATTAATTAAAATTTTATTATTATTGGATAAATTAATATTTTTGTGGTGGCTAATTTTTGGTTGACATTCTTGCGGTTCTTCCATTGGCACAGGTGAATATATATATATATATATATATATATATATATATATATATATATATATATCTTTCTTGAAGATGCATGGGTCATGATCTTTGAATACAAAAAACATGTTGAAGTTTGTTGTTGTGTTCCAGTATATCCCTGGTGACCACAAGCCACCACCGGAGGACCACCGTTGAACACCCCCAAAATCCGGTGGCCACTACCCACAGAACAGGTAAGGATGCTTTGATTTGGTTTTTTTACTGATGTGTTGTTTTTCAGTGACCACCAGCCACCACCGGAAGACCACCGTTGAAGCCAACCCGGAGAAATCCCGCTACCACTGCAAATCTGCAATCCACTTCAGGTGCAATCCACTACTCCCTCTTAAAAATTTTGAAACTTAGACATGACTACATATGATGAAAATAGCTATCTAATTTTATTAATAAAAACTATTTAGGAGGTTGTATTCATTTGAATACACTTTGTCAACTTTTTACTTGTTTTGCCTGTTAACCCTGTTCTTTTTAACTAATTTTGTTATATGACGATGGAGATATTAAAGTGTTATGTTTGGATAAGGAAAGGTGCAAACTTGTAAAGAGTGGGCACAAACTTGCAGAGGTATGATTCCTTGTGTTTATGCTTAGGTTTTCTTTCGTTGGATGGAATGGAATGAACCATTCCATTCCATTCCTTCCCTAATTCCATTCTACCATACAATACAATGATATATTACATTTTCATTAATTTTTCTCTTTATAAAATTTATTTATCGAAGTTTGTTGTGAGTATTGCCTTCTCTTTCATTCATGCTTCAATAGTTGTTGCTATTATGAAGGTAGGCCACTCTCCGGTTATATTTTTCACATAATTTGACAAGGAGATGTTGTATCCATTCAGACTAGGGTTAGAGCAACGGTTGCAAGAGATGAGTTCAAAAGAAGAAGAAACAAGGCTGTAACTAAAGTTCAGGTACTATGGATGAATTATGTTTGTAAAGTATTTAAGAAAATGATTAGAAACAAGGGTGAATTTTTACAGATTAGTTAGCTACTTGCAGGTTGATCTTGAATAAGCAAAGGGGCAATGGATTGTATTTTTTGTATCTAATTCGTTTGTAAATTTTTGTCACAACTTCTATTGATTTGTTTTATCTTTCCATGGAACGATTATTTGTATGACATTAAATTTATGTAATGGATTCTATTTTTTGTATATGATATTTTATTTTCTATTATGAAATATTAAATACAAATTTAATTTGATAATAAGTAAATCTATTAATAATATTTTTTTTAAACATTTAAAATTATGATACGCAAAAATGTGTGTCATCTTCATTTATGACATGGCCTTTCTTGATAGGGGTTTTCTTGATACGTATTGCGTGTCATTAGCACGCGCGTCGTAAGGTTACGACACGCGGATGCGTGTCGTCTTCCTTTATGACAGGGCCTTCCTTGATATGCAATGCGTGTCGTAAACGAGCGTCGTAATTGCGCGTCGTAAATGTGCGTCGTCTATAGACGACGTGCAAAAGCGCGTCGTCTCTCTTTATGACAGGGCCTTCCTTGACACGCATTTGCGCGTCGTCTGAGCCTTTTACGACGTGCAATGAGCGTCGTAAAAGGCTATTTTCTAGTAGTGTCAAAAACTCTTTTAAAGTTATGTTACTTTTTAGTTTAACAAAACTCCAATTTTAAAGTACAAGCATAACTTAGTAGTAAAATGAGTATTTTCAATAATATATCAAATAAAACACTAGTAAACTATAAGGGGTATAGTTTAGAGGTTCAGTTCACACTAGATACAATACACGATAACAAAAAGAACATACTAAGATACTATAATAGAACAAACATACTAAGATAGTATAGCACGGAACAACTATAGGATCTAATTATATCAATGAATCACTTACTCATTGTTCTAAACAAAAGGTTTTGTTAAATTGGGTATACATGATCACATAACTTTAATGTGGATTACACGACATAGCAACTGGTTTGCTGAAGTCATATTTGGTTCCAAAAATCTCTTGACAGGGAGAGCGTACAGTATGGGTACTAGCCTCCACATTATGACCTTAATAAACCAAACATATTGTAAGGTAATCAGTACGTCGGGATGTCAACTCAAAAGCCAATTGAGTACATATATTTTTCCCATTACTTTCAAAAAGTGACAGTTCACTTGAAAGTTAATGCAAACTATTTTCGAGTCAAGATAGTTATAAACTAGGGAAAACTTACATCATCTTTTCAAAAGGACAAACAGAACTGTCGGGTCTAGTGCATTTAGTAGAAAGGGACCATAATGCTAACCATAATTGCTTTCCGCCTCATTTCCTGTTCCTTGTTTGGTTGTGGGCTTAAAGCGGATTCACCCAACCTATTATCCATGCGATCTGAGTTGTATATATATATATATATATATATATATATATATATGTATATATATATGTATATGTTCCGTATACATTATGTCATCATAAGGGGTACCTGGTATGGGCCAGGTCATAGGACACTAATTCAATGCACAGTTTTCTAGTACAAAACATACTTTTCAAATCAGAACTTTTGGTATACAAAACTAGAAACTTACTAGTATAGGGTTTAATTAATTTTATTAAACCAGTATAACTTAAAGGACCTTAGGTGGTTAATCCTATAATACCTTAGTTTATACATCAGGGTTATATATAACTAATACCCGATAGATAGTTACATGTTTGTCATGTTCCTTGTTTGGTTGTGGACTTAGGGCAGATTCACACAATTAAATATCTATTCGATATTAGATTATATATAGCTAGTATAAACTAAGTGATTATAGAAGGAGCCACTGTGGTTACTATTTTTATTATAAGAAAAAAGGATTTTCTTAAAGAATCTTTTCATCAAATATAAAGGAACTATTACAGTTAACTCCGTGAGTACTAAGTGAATACACCATCGTTATATTATACGATGACCTAACAACATATAGGATGTGCCATCTGCCTCATTCCCTGTTCCTTATTTGGTTGTGGGCTTAGGGCAGATACACACAATCGAGTGTTTGTTGACTCTGGGTTTTATATAACTTGTATCCATTTAGTAGTTATAGAAAGGATTGTAGAGTCATTTTTACTTATCTTTCATCAAAGCAGGAAATACAGGATTTTCTGGAGGAATAGGAGAAATTTTCTAAAACAAAACTTACAACTTACTAAGCTTTCTACAACTTACTCACATCACTTAAACTTATGAACTCAACAGCTTAATTGTTGATCAACTCTTTAAAAATAACTTGTATTCTCAGGAATTTAGTAGATATGTACTCGTGCTGGGAATTCAGAATATTGAATAGTATAGCTCCAAGTCTTGTTTTGTTATTTAGATATGTATTCTATGTTTTGTGAACACACACATTGTAAACACTTTTTTTCTAATGAAATGGTTGTTGATTACTTTAATTACTATGATGCATGTCTTGTAATACTAAACATGACGTCCTCCACCCCATAAGGTTTCTACCGTTCCAGTTTTGGGGTGTGACACCCAAAACCATTGATTTTTAGCCCAATAAATTAAAAAAAGGAATAGATATTTTAAAGTTTTCTTCTATGTATTTCTATTGATCTTTTAAGTTTTAGGGTTTTTGTCACACCCCAAAACCATGAATGTCGGAAACATTCTGGGGCGGAGGACGTCATGTATAGTATCACAACATTGAATAGTAGTAAACAAGCAACAACATTATCCATTGCATTAATAATATAATTTCATACATGTGTGTTCTATCAAAGTTATAGACACCAAAAATATACATATCAAAATAAAAGATGAGTCTTGAACGAACTCCATCTTCTCAAAAGCCTGGCACCTGTACCTGTCTAGTGGTGACCTGAGAATATAAGTTATTTTGAAAGCGAGTATCAGGTTAATGATGGTGAGATCATAAGTATATTAATGTATGAGTTTGTATGAAAACGTTTGTAAGATGTTCCTGTAAGATGTTTTGTACAATGTTTTGTATAATGTTTTGTATAATGTTTGAACCCCCCTAGAAAACCCTATGTTTCCTACTAACTGTAGCCTTCTACCAAAGCATCTCGTGTCTGTGTGTATGTCTCTTGTTAGAGTGTGTGTTTTCCCAATTCTTACTATCATTAACCAAAAATATAGTTACTACATTACCGTGCATCGTGTGAATATTCACGAAGTGAATGTAATGGGAAAATATTATGATACCGTAGTATTTGTAATAAGTGACTACCGTGGTACTAACTGCCTTAAAACAAAAGGTGTTCCAAGTAACATGTGTTCGACCTGTATCCTGCTACCGACTCTAGTAAAATGATGGTGTAAGACGCCGTAAGAAATGATATTTGGCACTCGTAGACTTGGAAGTCCCACTGTAGCGAGCAACAAGGTGTAGGATAGTCAATCCAGTATAGATCTATACGCAAAGTCATATGCTCTCCAATTAAGGAGATTCGGGATACAAGAGCGGTCATGGCAGGAAGTGCCATGACCCGCTCAATGGTTCACATAAGTACATGAATGTATATGTAATAAATGTGCTAACTGAAAGTGTAATCTTTCTCTGTCTAGCCTGTATGTACTGAAATGTTCTGCGTGTTCTAGCTATAATGTATGATCTCTCTCTATCTAGCATGTATAGTAATGTATTGTGCGTACTAGTTGTAATGTATGTTATCTCTTTATCTAGCATGTATAGTAATGTACTATGAGTACTAGTCGAATTGACTCATGAATGAACTGACCCCTTGTATGTTTCATTGTTCTAGTAATAGTATTAGTATCCTCCTGTGATACCCCTATGGTAACTTACTAGTGATGTAACTGGTATGTATGAACATGGAAGTATACCCTTGCTACCCAAGGGTACTGAATGAACTGGAAGGACCTTTATGACTATATATGTACACATGATATATTTAAATGACCTTCGGACGGATACCTGATATCCCACCAGACCACATCTCAAGCGCGAAAAGGAAATAGGGCGGGCAGGCCTTCCTAAGCCTTTTAAACATTGCTTATATAACTATACATACATAGACATGCAATTAATAATAAGTATAAAAGAGTTGAAGTAAAAGTATTTGATAAGTAAAAGAGTTTGTAAAACAGTTTGAAACAATACAGTTTGATGAACAGTTTGAATAGTAAGAAAATCACTGGTTTTATCGTTATTAATCACATGTGATTGATGTAATAACTATAAGTATTCAACTTGTATGCCCCCATAAAGCATTTAAAAACATTTAAATCATTGGTTAAGGGGTATGAACTCACCTGAAGATGGTGGTTTGGATGAACTGAACGGTGTAGGATTGTTAGGTGTCAAGTGACGACTTGTACACACACTATGATCCTAATGAACATATAATCACACATATATGCACCCAATTAGTCTTAAACTACTAATTGAAAATGTTAAGACACCCTATAACATGATAAAAACTTTATATAAGTGTTATAAGCCCTAAGGATTGCATCTAAGTTGTTGTGGGACAAGGCTAATGGGTTTAGGGTTCCAAAGGACCCCATATATGAGTTTACTGTCCAATAAACCTTACACAAGGATTTTACAGTCATAAACCCTTGATTTTACGGCCGTAAGCTCCTAAGCTTTCTGTCATTTGATGTTTTGAAGTTCTAAATGATCCCTAGAAGCATTGCCACTTTGTGTTTTAATCCTTGGAAGGGTTTAGGGCTTTAGTACACTCCTTTGAGGAGTTCACAGCCCCAATGACCAAAACCATAAGAGATTACGACCGTAATCTCTTTTTGGGATGGGTTTTGATGATTTAAAGTCCTTAAATAACTAGGAGTAAATCAAGGCTATTGTTCCAAGCCTTTAGGAGTGATTAAGGCACTCTTTAGCCCTTGAGTTTGGAGTTCACGGTCCAAGAACTTCTTGGGCCGTGAACACCTTACTCTTGGTGTTCATGGGTGATTTCTAGTCCTATATACACTAGCATACATGTCTAAGGTAGTTACATATCAAGGGGAAAGGACTAGGCATCATTTTACCCTTATAAAAGAGTTTACTCCTCAAGGT